ATATCTCGGAATGTGGCTCGATTCTCTCTCTATCTCTATCTCGGAATAAACCTGAAATTCATAGCAAAAACACGGGAAAGTACGCCAACATATAAAATAACAACAAAAACATAAAAACTCACGATAAACGATCAAAGTGGACCGGTCGAAACTAAAATAAATATAAAATCGACTCGAACGCACACAAAAACACATAGAAATAAACACAAAAACACAATAACAAGAGCCAAACAAATACTGGAGCTGGTGCATACAGACGTGTGTAGACCAATGAGGACACCAATCTTCGAGAAAAACATGTACTTCATCCTCTTTATTAATGACTACACAAGAATGACTTGGGTGTACTTCATGAAAGAAAGGTCCGAAGTGTTCTCTATCTTCAAGAAACTCAAAAGTCTCGTCGAAAATCACAGTGGAAGAAGAATTAAAGCACTTTGGAGTGATCGAGGAACAAAATACACATCCAAGGAGTTCAACAAATTTTGTGAGAATGAAGGAGTCAACCATCAGCTAACTGTCGGCTAAGCTCTAGAGCAAAACGGCATGTCAGAAAGAAAAAATAGAACCGTGCAAGAGATGGCCAGGACAATGCTAACAGAAAAGAACATGCCTGAAGAATTTGGGGCAGAAGCTGTATACACTGCAGTCTATCTACTCAATAGGTGCCCTACTAAAGCAGTCCAAAATAAAACTCCAATAGAAGCTTGGAGTGGACGAAAGCCATCAGCCTAACATCTACGAGTGTTTGGGAGTATCTGCTATATGCACATACCAAAAGAAAAGAGACACAAACTAGAGCAGAAATCTGAAAAAGGTATATTTATCGGATATGTATCTCAATCTAAAGGATACATAATTACATCCTCGGGACTGATAAACTAATTATCAGTCGAGATGTTGAGTTCGATGAAAATGTTGCGTGGAACTGGGAGGAAGAAAAAGTCGAATACCAAAATGTCATGGTACCTGCATCACAAAGGCAAAATATCATAGTAGAAGAACATGAAGATGAAGCAGAAGGTACACAATCACCTCCAGCTCCACAACCTTCAAGTCCGAGGATATTATCACCATCAAACGATGAACAATCATCGCCAGAGTCACCACCAAGAAAAGTACGAACACTCAGGGAGATCTACGAGACATGCAATTTTACTACGATGGAACCTGAGAGCTTTAAGTAGCAGTAACGGAAAAAGAATGGGTAAAATCCATGGAGGAAGAAATCAAGATGACCGAGAAGAATAAAACTTAGGAGTTGGTCGATCCACCAAACAACAAGGAAGTCATTGGAGTTAAGTGGGTCTACAAGACGAAGCTTAGCCCATATGGCTCAATCCATAAGCATAAAGCACGACTGGTAGCTAAAGGGTACTTACAACTGCCTGGGATCGACTATAAAGAGACATCCGCTCCAGTTGCTAGGCTAGATACAATAAGGGCTCTAATCGCACTTGCAGCTCAGAACAAATGGAGAATCTACCAGCTTGATTCAGGTCAGCATTTCTCAATGGATACCTAGAAGAGGAGATCTAAATAGAATAACCTCAAGGGTTCGTAGCAGAAGGACAAGAAGATAAAGTCCTAAAGCTAAAGAAGGCCCTTTACAGATTGAAACAAACCTCAAGAGCTTGGTACAATAGAATTGATGACTACTTCACCAGTCATGGATTCAAATGAAGCGAAATTGAGCCAACACTCTACATCAAGACCCAAGGTAACGACAACAAACTCATTATTTCTCTTTATGTAGATGATCTTATTTATACAGGGAACAATGAGGAGATGATTAAGGAATTCAAAGAAGATATGATGAAGACCTTTAAGATGACAGACGTTGGGCAAATGAGCTATTTTCTCGGCATTGAGGTAAATCAAGAAGAAAATAGGATATTTATCTCACAGAGAAAATACACAGATAATCTACTAAAAAGGTTCAAGATGGACGGCTGTAAACCCGTAGCTACTTCCATGGTTGCTAACGAAAAATTAAGCAAAAACGACAGTACACCAAAAGAAAATGCATCTAAATACCGAAGCCTGATTGGAAGCTTACTATATCTAATGGCCACAAGACCAGATATCATGTATGCAACAAGTCTACTGTCAAGGCTCATGCAACGTCTGAGTCAAGTTCACTATGGAGCCACGAAGAGAATACTGCGATATTTATAAGGTATTAAAGACTACAGAATCTAATACGAATATAATGAAGACTCAAGACTGATCGGCTACACAGACAGTGACTGGGCTGGATCAACTGACGACATAAAAAGCACCTCAGGCTACATATTTTCACTTGGCTCAGGATATTCTCGTGGTCATCTTAAAAGCAAGACTGTGTGGCGCAATCATCAGTAGAGGCCGAGTACGTCGCAACAGCACTAACGACAAGTCAAGCTATCTGGCTAAGGCATATTCTTGGATACATTGGAGAACACCTAGAAAATCCAACTGAGATATACTGTGACAACTAATCATCGATCGATGGCCAAGAATCTTGTACATCACAGCAGGACCAAACACATTGCTATCAAATATTATTTTTTAAGAGAAGCTACTAATGACAAGCAGGTAGAGCGCAAGTATGTCGCCACTGAAGATCACCTTGCGGATATTTTTACGAAAGCACTGCCAAGACCAAGATTCGAGGCACTACGTGATAAACTCGGTATTATGAAAATGAGCATCACGGGGGAGTATTAAATAATGATGCTCATAGAAGAACATTCTAGGCTAGGTAAAATAATTTAGTGTTCTTATTAATGAAGAAAATCTAGATGGATCTAATGTTAGGTAAGAATAATTGATTGAATAAAATTGTAAGAAAGGTCATGAAGCTTCCTTATAAGTCGGTTTAGCATTCCTATAAATACATGTAATGTGTTTGTGGTACTGTGAAGAGAATTGAATAGAAAATAATCTACTTTGTCTACCACCAATAATCAATTACTTCACCCCATATTATATCTACATTTCTCTCTATCCAAAAACAAAAGAATCAATTACAATTCCAAATTCTTAATACTTATATCTTTCATACCAACAGAACTCTTCGTGTATTTGTTGTTGCTTTTGTTCGCTTTACTCATCCAACTAGATCACCTCGATTCAATCTACGATTGCATCCATCCTGTTGGCCACGTCGCCGTCGTTGGCCACCACAAGCCCGAGTCATCCATCACTCAACAAGCCCGAGTCATTCATTCTGATTTACCGACTAATGAGATTGTTCTTTGACTGGGGGCTTGTTGTTTTTCAGTCGAGCCATACCCAGGAGTCCCCAGAGAAGCCATTGCCTTAGCTACTGGGAGAAATCGATCCATCATGAACTCCTGATCTCCCTGCGACATGTCATGTGAGCCTCTGGGCCCGTTTATTAGCCCACTCGTACTACAGTTCAAGGAAACCGACTGTTCCAATCCTCGAGAGTCGAGAGTGTATCGAGTGCATCCACATATGCTTCCTCCCTACCATCCTCATCCTCTTCCTTCACCTCCTTGCTGCTTTCATCAGCCTCTGTAAATTTTCATCACCAGCCAATTGCTTATCATTATTTTTTATATTAACATTACTATTGGCCTTTGGGAGTCTCCATGGAAGAGACTTTGGAGCGGGTGTGACAACACTTTTGTTGTGGTCAAAATTAGAAATTAAGCTACATAAAAATCAAAACAAGTGGGAGGGAAGATAAAATCAATATTAAAAATTAAAATATGTGTGCTACATCAATCCAAATTTAATAATATAGTAAATATTGATTTTAAGTATTTGTACGATAAAATAAAAATGATGTATACATTCGATAAAAATTCAACCCAAAATAAATCTCAGTATTTTTAAATTATTTCTACAAAAATAAATAATCTACAGAAAGAGAACATTCTAACAATTGATAACAAATTCAAACAATATCATCTTCATAAATTAATTTTTTTTAGAATAAGAAAACCAAAATTCCGTGACATATACCAACTCTAAGAAATAAAAAGGACATTAAAATTACCAAAATATTTGTAAGAATTGAATAATAGCACTAAATTATATAAGATAGATCATAAACAATATATATATATAATATATAATTTTTTAAATTTAATAAATATTTTTTATGTATATAATTTATCTAGTGTTAATACTATTAAATAGCCATAAAATTTTACAAAACACAAATTTTAACCACCTTTTTAAAAAAAAAACTTCTTTTTTAGCCATTTTGGTATGTGATTTTACTAAATTACCCTTAGCTCAATAATACCTTGTTTTACACAATTTGTTCAGAAATTTTTTCAAACTATTTCAAATCATTTTTTTTCCTCCATTTTGAAAAAAAAATCGCTCCTCTGCAGACGAAAAAAATGCTCCTCTGAACTTGACGAAAAAAATTTCTGCCGAAAAAATTCGCTGCTCCTCGTCTTCAAATTCGAGCTTCAAAATCCTCTCCTCTCCTTTCACGAGTTCTGCACTTCACATTCGCTCTCTGCACTTCAAAAATTCGCTCTGCTGCTCCTCGCCGTCACACCGTCTTCACGACCTCGCCGTCACGCCGTCTTCCCGACCTCCGACATCCGCTGCTCCTCGTCGGCAAAAAAATCGATCCCGCAGCTTCACCGGTCAGGTAATTAGGGTTCTCATCCCTTAATTTTTTGTGCTCACTGGAATTAGGCTAAGGCTTTGCAAATCGATTTTTGTTCTTCTTTCACTTTTCACCGGCGATCGACCCGAGTTCTGTCCGACAAACCGAGCCACGTCGCGACCCAACCGAACACTGTCGCGACGAACCTAACAGCCGCAATCTCCGAGCTCTGACCTCCAGCCGGTTAGTCTTCCTTTTACGGCGACCGTCCTTAGCATTTGACCTCTTCCGACCTTTTACGGTTAGTCTTCTTTTTATGTTGTGCCTTTTATGCATTATTTTGACTGGATCTTGTGATGTTATTGAGCTTTAGTTTCAGTTTCTGAAGGGTTAAAGGCATGCTAGATTTACTAAGTTTGTTGAAATTTTGAAGCTTGATTGTGTGTGCTTTGTTGTAGTTGTGATGAACCATTATGTGTTATACTAGATTTATTAAGTTTGTTGAAATTATGGGTTAAAGGCATGCTAGATTTACTAAGTTTGTTGAGATTTTGAAGCTTGATTGTGTGTGCTTTGTTGTAGTTGTGATGAACCATTATGTGTTATACTAGATTTATTAAGTTTGTTGAAATTATGGGTTAAGGACATGCCAGATTTGTTGCGTGATGAACCATTATGTTGTAGTTGTGATATTTGTATGTTTTGTTGTAGTTGAGCTGAGAATGTGAGCTCCTTATGGCTCCTTATGTATGCTATGAGAAATGAGAAAATAAAAAAGGAAAAGAGGCATTATGTTGAAATGTTGTCTAGTGAGTTTTTGTGCATTGAAGTGTGTTAATTGTTGCTGTTATATGTGTATCTTTTTAAACCTTGTTTCAGCTATCAAGTGATCATTATGTGTTGATAGATTTGAGCTTAAATCCAGTGAAAAAAAAAAATGTTTAAAGAGCATGCTTTGTGTTTGTGAAAATGCCTGTGTCAACCTCATCAAACCTTTTGTTTGCCTACACTTTTGGTTGATGGCTCAAATTGTTTTATTTTTATTTCTTATTTTTTATTTTTTTGTTCAGCTGTGGAGTTACTAAAGAAGGAACAAGTCGACGGGCTTATAATAGGGCCACAAGAATCAACACAAATAACCCGTGTCCCATCATAATGACTTCTCCGGTTAGTTTTTTTGTTCCCTTTTTTATTGCTCCAAATTCAATAGTTTGTCATATTCGTTTTTTTTTTTTTGTTTACTTTATTTGGTTAACAAATAAGATTATACATTTCAATTTAACTTATATATTTGCTTTGTAGTTGTATTAACCTTTATTATATTGAACATTATAGTTGACGAGGCGAAGATCGAAGATGTTGTATCGAAAAAAAATTGAAGAGGCTTTTGCTAGGATGTTGCCTAGGTTTGTTGACTCGGCGGTTACGGAGGTTATTAAATGATTAGATGCTTATCTAATCGTTCGAAGTGCGCCCCATTTCGGATTTGAGGATTTGGAGACCGTGAAGGATGATTTGGGGAAGGATGATATGGGGAACGATGATTTGGGGAAGGGAGAAGATGGAGGCAAGAAAGAGAGCATTCCAACCAAAAATCTGATTTTGTAAGTTTGTATTATTTGCAACGCACCCTTATTTTGTTATCCAAAAAAAAAAAGTTGATTGTTTACATCCTAAAGATTTTTTTTTTTTTTTTTTTTAAATCTGTAATATTTTGTATTGTCCAAAAATTTTAAAAAACTATCGGCTATAATCTTAATTCTTTCAAACTGTTAAAAAACACAGGTACATGAGTCTGGTGATCATGGTGTTTCATGTGAGGATGTTGTGGATGAGGATGAGGGTATTGCGAAAGTTGGCCCCTCACAGGATGTAGCTGCTATCACTCAGAAGCCCACAAAAGGAGATGGATTCACGGATGGTGATGGTGATGGTGGTGTGGTAGGTCAAACATTTCGCGTTAAGTTCAAAAATAGCAAGCTTTCCTCACCATTCATTGATTACCGGGAGAAGAAAGCTGAGAAGCAATTAAAGGTGAAATACGAAAATTGGAAGAAGAAGAAATCTCCAATGTAAGTAGCATGACAGTTATATTTCTAATTTATATCTATAGCATACATGTGAATTTTTTAAGTGCGATTTTCTCTTTTTATTTATTTTCTTGTTAGGTTAAAAGTTGGGGTACAATACCAAGGGCCAGATTATATTAAAAAAATTGAGGGTGTCAGGAATATGCTTTCTACCAAGGTAAGTAAGGTTTAATCGAGAGTTCAATCTCAGTACTCGAATGTAGTAGTTCAAAAAATTAATATAATTAGAATTTTTGTAGCATATCGATGCGTTTTTGGACGTGCTTTCTCGGAGGTTGTGTAGTGGGGTCAAATTGAAATCAGGAGTATCTGTTTCAACAATTAATATTCAGGATTCCACTCTATTTGTAATTTCTCTTTCCACTAATTATTTTTTTGCTTAATTATTTTATATTTTGTTGAATGATTCATGTTGATGCTTATTACTTATTTTCAGGGTTTGTTATCGAATCAATGGAAAGTGCTTCATCCCGACGATCCTCAATGTACGCAGAGCTATCCCGACGTCACAAATTATGAGAGTTGGAATGTTCTTATGTTCGTGGTACTGCTATTCGTTGGGGATATCCTTGGCATACAAATCCCGATGTAAGTTTTTCTTTTGTTCTTAATTATTGGTAAATTATGCTGAATGGTATTAAATTTACTTGTAACATTTATATCATTGTTGGTTTGTAACTTCGGATGATAGGTCATTTTGGCATGTAATGTTATCTAGCATTGGGTGGTGTGTCGGGTACTGTTATTGGATTGGGAGATCGAGCTTTACGACTCGTTTAGCCACCTTTTATCGTCGAAGGCGTGTAATGACCGAGAGCTTATGTTGACCCCTCTCCGACGACTGCTTCCCACACTACTTCACCAGTCCGGTAACTTTGCTGCTAGGAAAATTCCGCCCAAGTTAGATGCCTTATCGATTAAGAGAATGCCGAGTGAAGTTCAGTTTGTTCAAGACGATATCCATAGTTGTGGAGTATATGCGTGTATGTACGTTGAACGTATGCTTAGCAATTTATGCTCATAGTATTCCCGAGTCGAATTAGTGTCATTTTTTGGGGCTTTTGTTGTGTAATGCTATTGCAAATTTTAATGTATTTGGTACTTTGAGGACCTTGAGGTTACATCTATCTTGCATTTTGGACCTAATATTTGACATCTATCTTGAGGTTGCATCTATCTTGAGGTTACATCTATCTTGCATTTGGACATCTATCTTGCATTTGGACCAGATATTTGCTTTGATTAATCCACACACTATCTTGAGCAATTAACATACATATAAACGAAATCGAACCGAAACGAATTTAGCTAATCATCAACATTTCAACATCAACATTCATATCCAAGAAAGAAAACAATCAACACTCATTTATTAAAGTAAAACTAATAACATTCATATCCAACAAAGCTTTAACACTGGGCGTCCGGAGGTGGTGGTGGCGGGTAGGGCTGACTGGCTCCGGAGTTCCAACGGGTGTCCCACTGGGTGAACCTCTGATCCCAACTGTCCATCCGAGTATCCTGCTGGTCCTGTCACTAGCGAATGGACCGGAGACCGTCAGTGAAGCTGTCGAAATGTGAGCCCATCTGAGTCCAGTGGGTATGCTGTTAGGTCTTTCAATGGTCCCACTGACTCTTCTGCTGGGTCTCCCAGCTGGCCCACTGAGTCGTCTGACGGCTCTCCATGGTGGCCAATCGACTATCCTGAGCATCAAATCTTTCGTGAATAGAGCGGATGTCGGCTGCATACTGGTATTTGAACGAGGTCCACCATGTTGGTGGTTGCTGTGGAGGAATCTCGGGCTGTGGGTTCAGGACTGGTGTCCACGTAGGTGGAGGTGGGAGTAAATGGCTATCATCGACATTCATCTGCCGAGATGATCCTGCTTGATCGGGGTTAGTCGCACTCTGCTGGAGCTTTTTAAAGTAGTTATCATAAGCCTGACGCTTCGTATACTCCTGCACGGTGGTCCGATTCTGGATGAGGTCAGACTGTTTCAGCTCATGCTCATTTATACACCTCTTTGGAGTGCCTTCGACCGACCATGTCACATCGACATTAGGGGCTTGTGTATGGATTTTGAAGTGTTTGGCAAGTGCGGTCACAACATGCCCAAGTGCTGGAGTTCCTCTCTGATTGAGTGCAATCTCTTGCAAGGTGTTCTGCAGAAAAGTCATGGAACACACCTGTACTCCCGCACGCATCGCCCAGAGGAGGAAAAACTCGACCTCACTCACTTTATTCCCCTCCTTTTTTCCTAGAAATGTTGTAGCTTATGAACTTGTGCACAACGGCTGTGGCCAAGTCTTGGATGAGCCCGTTTGACATGCCGGCGGAGTCCCAAGTCGTGTGCGGTGAAAGCTCGGCCCAACTCTTCTTCGCGTCGAACTCGATTGCCTTGCTTCTAGTGCCGGCCAAAGTGAACCTGAAAACCTTCTTCATCACGACATTGTCTACCGTCAGGTCCTTCCCCTATAGCCTGCAAGTGAAATACTCATTCCCATCGGCAACAAGAAGTGAAATCGATACTCACATGTGTGTTTGTCTCCACCAACAATGTCATTAACTCTATTTAAAAAGTCTTCATACGACAAACTCACCAAACGCATAAAGTTCATCTATGCCTGTCCATTTTTATAAACATTCTCATCCCAAAATCCGCTATGCACAATTCGAACTTTTTCATAAATCTGTAAACCAAAGATGTAAAAGTATTTAATGACAAATAATTTCAAATAATTATTTGAGAATTACTTTAATCAATGTTTATAATAAAAAAATAAAATGGTTTATAAAATGATTTTTGAAATCACAAATTGTTTATACGATTTGAAAATTATTTTTGGGATGTATCTACTGTTTCTGAGATCCCATAAATTGTGTTGGGGATTCAAAACAAATTTATAGGACAAGAAATCGATTTCTGGGACTAGAAATAGATTTCTTGTACAGCTGGGACTAGAAATCGATATTTCTAGTCCCAGAAATCGATTTCTTGTCCTAGAAATGTGATTTCTGGTCCCAGAAAGCACATTTCCGACCAGAAATCGATTTCGTGACAAGAAATCAATTTCTTCACATTTCTGACCCAGAAATCACATTTCTGGGACTAGAAACGAGATAATCCAGAAAACAATTTATGGGTCCCAGAAATCACATTTACGGCCAAGAAATTACATTTCTGACCCAGACATTGATTTCTCGACCGGAAATGTGATTTCTGGGCTAGAAATTAATTTCTGGACTAGAAACGAGACGATCCAGAAATCAATTTCTGAGTCAGAAATGTGATTTCTGGGACAAGAAACGAGACGATCCAAAAATCGATTTCTGGGTCGGAAATGTGATTTCTGGGTCAGAAATCGATTTCTGGGTCAGAACCGAGATTATCCAGAAATCAATTTCTGGGCCCAGAAATCATTCAATGTTCCAAAAAATCTATTCTACATTTTTTTTTTGCCATATTCATTTTATTAATTTGAATAGTATAAAAAAAAAAGATAAATTGTAACAATACCTTTACACTAATATTTCCGCGATATGCCGGAATGTTGCCGGAATGAATATAGAGAGAATGATTTTTTTTTTTTTTGTTGAGATTAATGAATGAAAAGAGTGAATGAAGTTGTAAATGGAAGAGAGAAGAGAGATGAACTTTTTTTAAAAAAAAAAAAAATGATAGTAAGGGTATTTTAGTCTTTTCATGTGACAAAATGGCTAAAAAAGATGTTTTTTTCAAACTATGGCTAAAATTTGTGTTAGCCATTTCAACATGGCTAAAAAAAAATTCACTGATTTATCTATCTATAGTTAATTGTATTCCATGTTTTCACAATTTAATATAAGATACTTTGGAAATCGAATTTGTAAACTCGTAAAATATGTGTCAAGATGTAAAATATATGGGTAGTAGTGAAAAATTGTAAAAATTGATGTAAAAGAGAATATTCGGAAAACATTAATTTAGGTTTGAAAATGAATTTTTCGATTAGAGATGAATTACTGCAAAATGTGATAATTACTGCAAAATGAATTTTAATATGAGTTATTCGGTTGGAGATGATCTAAATAAGTCCAGATGGTCTAAAAAATGGCGGAAAGCTCTTACAACTTGTAACAATCTAACTTGGGTGCTTTTGTTTGAAATGTGAGGCAACGGTCAGAAAACTAACAATTAAACAAAAGATTTAAATTCGAGGACACTGAGGCCTCGGTTCGCATCGGTCCGCCACCCAAGAGCATCAAACGCAAGCAGGCCATCTGAGGACACCGACGTCGCACGTAGCCGTCCGAGGCCTAGTCATTTTTTGATCTGATTTTTTTTTATTCCGTTGGCGTGTAGATTCTGAAGGCCAGGTAGACTTTAGTATCTCTCTTGTTTTCTTTGAAATCATATTGCAATTGTATAGACCCATAAGTTTTGAATCGGATATTTGATAAAAAATTCAGATCCTTCGACTTTTGTTGAAGAAGACGTTGGATCACGAATTTTAGAGTATTTTTGTGAATTATAGTGGATATTTGGAACTTATTTTTGTGCCTTTGTGTTGGGAAATTTTTGGGAAAAAAAATTGGTGATTTTCAAGTCTCCTTATTGCCTTTTTTCCAAAAATTATTGTAAAATTATTTTTGATATGGCACATAATTATAGTTCGGTGAACCGAAAGGGATTTGGGTGGTTATGCGAGCCAGGATTAACTAAGCCCGGACTTCGTTAGATAACAACCCAGTTTTTTGTAACAAAGGGCTGTTTGTAGCTCAGTCAAACTGGAGTGCTCGGTCAAGCGGGAAGCGCTCTGTTTGAAGGAAAGTGCTCGATTAAGAGTTTCTTGCTACCAGCTCGGCTGAAGTAGATTACCCGAGCAGTGAGTATGAGATCGGTCCACACAAAAGCTCGACTTTTATAGCAGTTCGGTTAGGCGCGCATTTTGAGTATGGAAGTGGCTTGGCCGAGCAGGTATTACCGCCAACAAAGAGGTCTGCAAAAGACTCGTGTAGTGTCAAGATCGTATGAGGGATATGTAATCTAACGAACAACAGAAGAAGCGTACGAAGGAAGCTAGGGAAGACATCTCGGCGTCTTTTAAGGTATTGGGAAGCTCAATTAGGTGGAGGATCAGAGGAGAACCGGGTTGGGGTGCAGGAGTGCTATCAATTTTGGTATTAAATTGAACTTGAAAATCCATGTTTTGGAACCTCTTGAGTGTGCCTTGAACCCCAATTTAATCCCTGGCCAGAATAGTTGTCATAGGCCAGCGAGAAATCATTGGCAAAGCCCTTAGGCCGTAGCCGCGTGCGGTGGACGCAGTCATGTGCGCGGGCCGTGCCACAGGCAGGCGGCAGTCCGCGCAGTGGACGTGCAAAGGCCCCTGCAACAACGCGTGTAGCCCCACAAAGGTCGCGCACAAGGCCGTGCGCAGTGTGCCTGTGCGTGTACTTCGCTAGTGCTCGACTTTTTCTGCAGGCATCACGCCAGATGCGCCATTTCAACTTGCTAGTGATGGTAGACTCTATCGTGCCCTCCCAGTCTTGCAGCCGCACCCGCCAGTGCCAGTATGCAGCACCTTCAGTCGTCCCTGTGCATACC